CGTCACTGCTTTCGTTGAGTCTGGTGCTGGTATTTCTGAGGGTGGAAAGACTGGAATTACTGCGATGGTTGCTGGCATCTGCTTCTTCATCTCCATCTTCTTCGCGCCTATCTTTGCATCTATTCCCCCTTGGGCCACTGGCTGCGTTCTGGTACTCGTCGGATCTATGATGGTCAGCGCCGTTACCGAGATCAACTGGAGGTACATGGGAGATGCGGTGCCGGCATTCCTCACCATTGCCATCATGCCTTTCGCATACTCGATCGCCGATGGTCTTATTGCCGGTATCTGCACCTACATGCTGATCAACACCGTCGTTTGGCTCATCAAGATTGCGACCCGCGGACGTATTGTGCCTCCCAACTATGATGAGCGGGATGGCTGGACCTGGCGTATTCCCGGCGGTGTTTTCCCCCCTTGGACTGTCCGACTTTTCCGTGGCAAGAAGGACTTTTGGCGTGAAGATCTTCCTGTTGCCGACACGACTGAGAACCAGGTGACGGTTCCTGATAAGGAGACTAGCTCCGATCATGGCGGTTCCGAGGGTAAGGTGACCGAGACGACTGCGCCTCGGGAAAAGGAGATCTAGACGAGTGATCGAAGAATGAGGTGGAATAAAAATGAGAGAATAGGAGAAGGTTGACATGATGAGTAATTGAGTATAAAATCTTAGGATACCCAACAAAAATGGAAACATGAAGCGGTTTTTGTTCGACATAGGCGTGTCCAGTGACAACTTGAGTGACAACTTGAGTGACAATGTCTTGCTAAGTTGTATGTCAGTCAGATGTGATGTGAGAAGCCCTACGGTTAGGCTTGGGACTTGTCGAGATCATGAAAAGCAATGTGTTTGAATGAAGCTCAGGGTCAACTGTCCTTCTGGCGTTGACCACTTTGTGATGGGAGCAGATAATTGACACATGTCACGACGGTTATCTAGCCTTTGCAAATCCTATAATATCCCTCTAAATTTTAGTATAACCAATGATCACAAAATAAGAAATGGAGATCTGAGGTATGAAGAAGCTATTGTTGGTCTTTTTTAAATATTTTTTAACTCTTGTAATGGGATTTAAGCATAGCGGCAGTATTCAAAGCAGGAAGTTCCCGTGAGAACCTCATATGAGAATGATGCTATATATTTCCACCACTAACTCCGCTTAAATGTGCTTTTGCTTCTCAGACTTGCATGTTGATTTTCACTCATCCGTGGCAACCTATGCCTTGCTGAGGCACAACGGCAGAGAGATCCGCTGTGACGACTCACTTCAACGCTGCACCTCACGCCATCAAGGCAATGTGCTTGAGTTCCCTAGAAATAGTCAGCAACAAGTCCTCAAGTCAATCGAGCCCAGGTCAAACATACTCTTGCACTTGGCGTCCAACCTTCATGGCCGGATACTCTCCCTCTCGTCCCTCATCCCTACCCAAGTCCTTCTGCCCCTCCCTAACCTCCTTCGCCCGCTGCACCAGCTTCGGAACCGGCACGAGATCAAAGTCACTTCCCAGATGCCAGAAAAGAGTGCTCGAGATTCGAACTAGCGGTCTATCGGGAAACTCGCGCTTGCGCTTCTCAATCGTCTCAATGGTCTTTTCGTTGACGACAACTTCGTGGTAGCCCGCCTTGATGAGGCCACCGGTGATGTGCTCGATCTGCTTGCCCGCTTGGACAAGAAGGTAGTTTCCGGGAGGGATCTTGACTGGGATCCGGTTTCCGGTGTTGCGGGCCCAGATGTGAAGGCCAGGATACCTTGAGCGGCCGTGGATGGTGAGGAAGTTGAGGTCTGTGTGAAAGCCAGCGAGGATGGTATCTTTCTCTCCGTACTTGTTGAGATCAGAAGCTGTAGGGGCAAGAAGATGCGGTCTATAAAACATGTGAGTTCATGAACATTGCGCAGTGCTGGATAGGGGATCAAACCCGTAACGTCCAGCGTCGCTGAAGAACTCAGCTTGTAGATCCAAACCAACAGCCGTCATCTCTGCCAGTTTCGACACGCTCGAAATATGGTTAGTGTCATATTGTATGAGTTTGAAACCAAGCTACTCACGCATTCTTCATAGACGTCCCCCATTGATTCATAGCCGGCGTCCACCGCTCCTTAATATGCGGCGCCTCAGGCACGATATTCGAAGCATTCAACCCCGGAAACTCAGTCTTGAACGGCGGAATTTCCGCCATCCTCCAAAAGAACCTGCACTTCGGATCCGGCGAATGCGCCGTGATATCCAGCGGTCTTTGCGACGGATGAAGTCTCTGAATCACATCCAGACACGGCTCGTCGACGGCGCACTTGGGCTTCTCGGTGTTTTCCAGCGTCACACCGATCTGGTAGCTCAGCTCGGGCTTCTCATCCTTCCTGAGGTCCTCTTCGGGCTGGGCAAAGTAGTCTTCAAGGATGTCGAGAAAGGTCGAGTTGTCCTGCTCCGAGACGCGGGAGTCGTGGAGGACCAGGGCGCCGTAGGTGATGAGGGCGTTGGCCGCTTTCCGACACTCGGCCTGGACTGCCTCGGAGTCGAGAGGATGGTTGAGATAGACGTCGAGGTCGATGACGGGGAGGTCCATCGACAATTCTTGGTTTGAGTCCATTGTTAAGGCTACGACGCTTCTCGTCGTGAACTTTCCACACTTGGGTCTTTAAAGGTATAGCTTCCGGATAGGCAGTGAGTGAGTCGAGGCAAGAACAACACGCATATATGAAGAAATATAAAAATTTAAACCCGCTACAAAGGGTCCTCTCACGGTTCCTGTTCAGGAAGTTGATGCGGACAAGGTCATGTCCTTGGTCCGGTCTTATCCATTGCAATCGCCATGATTGGCCAGCGACGTTGGAGTAAGAGCCGGAGCTGGCCGAAGCCCGACGGAGACGATCATGAGGTCGCAATAGAGTACAGTGGGTCTCAAAAAGTAACGACACATTTTCCCGTACCCCGCTTTCACTTCTACCTCCACCAAAATCATCACCAACTTCAATCATTCATCACGCAATCAATTTACGTCCAAATGGCCCCAAAAAGACATCATTCTCCTCATACGCGAACGAGGATTATTTGGAAATATAATTCGGGCGTGTCGGCCGCCCGGATCGCGCGGGAAGAAGGCATCTCTCGACATACAATTTACGGTGTGGTACGAAGATATCGCGACCAAGAGAGTGCCGCGGACCAACCTAAGTGCGGTCAGCCGCGCATCATTAGAGAGAGGGAAAGAAGGAGAATTTTGAGGGTTATTGCCCAAGATCCTCATCTTCAGATACGTGAATTAATTGAGGAAGCCGGGTTAAGCTGCTGCAGGGCAACTTTAATCTTATACCTACGGAAGGAAGGAATTATATATTATAAGTCTCTTCTTCGACCTTTCCTTAGTAAAGCCAACGCCAGAAAGCATCTACGCTTTGCACGGCGGTATATTCATATGGCTGAGGACTTTTGGGAGAAATAGACCTTCTCTGATGAGGTTATCATCGCTCGAGGAGAGGGCCAGAGGCATACATAGGTTTTCTATAAACCGGTATATATTCTTTTCATAACTACGACTTTTCTAATTATTTCTAGCACGAGAGACTCTTCAGAAAGAATATTCAGACACGCATACAACCGACAAGGCACTCACAGATGTTCTTTAGTGCTTTTAATCATCGCAGGCGCCTCCCGATGGTCCCCCTAGCCGGCGATCCAGAAAGCCCTCGCGGCGGAGTAACTGCGCAGATTATCCTCGCATGCTTATAGCGATACCTTCCCCGGATTGTGATAAGGAATAGTTACTTCCAACATGACAACGCCAGCACATTTATAGCCCACATCGTACGAGACTGGATCTATGAGTGGTGTAAGAGTCGAAGGGCCGAGGTGGTAGACTGGCCGCCTTGCAGCCCGGATCTCAACCCCATAGAAAACCTATGGGCGATCCTTAAAGAGAGGATTTGCAAGCGATATCCAGAGCTCACATATATGCCCAAGACCGACGAAGCAAAGCAGGCTCTTATTGCAGCTGCGATCGAGCTGTGGGAAGAGATTGAGCCAGAAGTCATCGATAACCTAGTCTACTCAATGAAGCGAAGAATGCAGGCTGTTGTGCACGCCCACGGCTAGTATACTAAGTATTAGATATACCAAAAGATACAGCTCTCAATTATCTATAGATTGATATAAAATAAGATGCAATTGGCCTTCATTTGGCTGCGCAATAAGGCGCTGAAGATGTAGTCTCATTTGGTGATGGTACTGATATAGCGGGGAAACCCGGAATGTGTCGTTACTTTTTGAGACCCACTGTAGGAGGGGGGCGGCGTATCACGGGGGCTGTGCGTCAAGATAAGGAAAACGCGGGGGAGATCAGTTGAAGACTTCATGTGATGTCGAGAGTGGTGCAGGGAGTAGTTGTTTGTGTGTCAGCCTTGTGGGTTATTGACAGATGAGAGCATGGCTTCTAACCTGAAGGAATGGTTCACTATGTCACATCTATGAGCAATATCCTATTCAATACCATCAGGGGCATTTCATGAAGACCTTCATGAGTCTTTGACGGATCTGTGATACAATGGTCCTCTTAGAATGAGAAAAGAGGTGCAAAGTAGAAAATAGCCCTTCAAGCCCATCTAATTATGCCACGTCCCATGAGATGTAAGTAAGCCAATACACATCAAACAGGTTGTATGGTGGGTGTATCGGGCATCTGCTCTCTCATAAATACATCACTTACCTACGCCAGGAACGAGGTTCAATAACCCCAAGTCTACCCAGCTGTCTCGATCCCATCTCGACAAGCTTTCACCTATTACAGCTACCCGGATAGGGCCAAAAGCCTGACTCTTCCCATAGCCCATCCTTGGTTTCAGTCCAGTCTCAACCAAAACATGCACTTCTGCAACTCAACAACAATGGTTCAAGAAATCTATTTCCATCTCGCAAGAAAACTCGCCGCCGTCGAGGCACTGCCCATCCCCAGCTTGGTAATATACACCTCTTTTCATCTTTACCCAACAACACATTTAGCTCTGCTGTCGCTCCGCCTCCAGCTCCCGCTCGGCCTGCTGGTAGTACTTGGCCGTGTCGACGCCGTGCTGGCTGTGGTTGACAAAGTTGAACCACGGGACCGCGCTGAACATGAGCGCAGAGTACCGGCTCTGGCGGGCAGCCACGCCCTGCAGATGGGGGCTCAGCCTGCTCACGCCGTACAGGGGCTCGCCCTTCTTGACCTTGTCCACCATCTCCCGCATGTCCATCTCGATCTCGCGGGCGTTCTCGGTGGCGCCGTAGAATCGGACTGTTTCCGTATTGTCAGTATTTCTCCAATCGCTACCGGTTATGGCATGTCGTCGACTTACGGCAGGATCGCTGGTAAAACCAGAGGAAGCCGCCGATGATACCGACACCTCCGGCCAGTCGCAGGGCCTTGGGGAAACCACCCTTTCCGACGTGCGAAGGGGCGAATCGCTCGAGGGCAATCAGGGCAACGGGCGCAAAGGCGGCGGCGGCAGTGCCATAGACGTAGTCGCTAGTTCGGGCATATCCAACAACTCTCTTGAAGTGACTGCCGAGGGTTAGTCGACGGTCCACAATCCAACCATCCCAACAATTGCAGCAGCTCGAGCAGTGAAAAACATGGGATATCGCAGTTCGGATCATCGCGGAAGGTACTCGAGGGGACAGAGGACGTACGGATCGTTGTCAATGAGCTATAATATCCATCTGATCAGCAACAGCCAATGCGTCGTCAATTGAGGCCTCACTCACCGGGTAAGGGGTCTGGATGACCTTGCTGGCCCCGACAAAGGAGGGAGTCTCCTGCTTGGTCGCGCTCTCAGACATTGTGCGGTGCTTCGTCCGGGACAATTCCTTGAATCCTATCACGAAGCCTTTCGAGGTCGTCGGTTTCGGTACATTCAGAAGCTGGAGCCGGCCGCCGGATTGGTGCCTCAGGACATGATCACGTGAGTGGTCAGCCCATCGAAGAAGCCGATGATTGGTCACGTGGGAGAAGTGGACCTTGGCGGTGGACAGAATCAATTAAGCTCTCAACGCGTCTCTTAGAGTTGGACGCGTCGTGAAAGGGAGGATCGAGTCCTTGGAGTCACTATCGACACTCAACACTCAGAAATTTTCAAAATGGCTGGCATTCTCTCGGATCCAGCAAACGGCCTGGATAATTACGACGTCGGCGACTTTTCCGACGACCCTTTCGGTTCTCCGCCTCCAGAATCCTCCTCCAAGAAACGAAAGGAGCCAGATTCCGGATTGGGAATTGATGAGGAAGTCGACGTCAAGAAGCGAGCCCGAGCACCCAATGTGAAGCTTGACGAGGATAGGTGAGACTGCATAACACTAATCAGCATTTTCTATGGTATTCTAATCCCGAATGACAGGTTACTGGGACCAAAAGGAATCCCCAAGCTACGGCAGAGAGCCCGCGACCTGAAAATCAAGGGCAAAGGCCATGAAGTACGCTGTCGCCATTCCCCAAGCTCTCTCTCAGCCAACTAACCCACTGCTATAGTTCTCAGATGCCGGCCGCCTCCTGTCCTTCTACCAGCTCTGGCTCGATGACCTCTTCCCCAAAGCCAAGTTCCTCGACGCCCTCGCCATGGTCGAAAAGGCCGGTCACAAGAAACGAATCGTAATCGCGCGCAACGAATGGATCAATGAGGGCAAGCCCAAGGATCACATTGCAAATGGGGAGGATGAAGAAGAGGAGGATCTATTCGGCGAGAACAATACATCACAGCCAGCGGGCCCAGAACCCACCACCACCACAACGGCGACAGAACCGTCAAGGGCAAAGACACCACAACGAGATGACGACGTACCAGATGACGACGACATCTACGATGCAACACCGCGACAAGTTCGTCACACTCTCCCGATTCGCAACGAAGTCCCCGAAGAAGATGATCTCGAGGCCCTCATCGCCGAGGCCGAGGGCCAGGATGCAGCGAAGAGGTCAAAGCCTTCAGAGCCCGAACCAGATGGTGATGATCTAGACGCTCTGATGGCCGAAGCCGAGGGTCATGATCAAGCACCAAAAAAGAAAGGACCAGAGCCAAAGGGAGGAGATGACTTTGCCGATGAAGAGGCGGCGATGCAGGAGATAGACGGGTTGTGGTGATAGAAGCCATAGAGCAATAGGCGTTGGGCGTTGAGATTTGTCATGATATTTGGCAGCCATTACGAGTAATGAAAGAGTAGCATTAGCTGCCTACGGCATCTCTACGTTCACATCGTTCATTGACATGCTGACCAACAGATGGTTACAAGTTGCCCGTCTTGTTCCCTATCCACTTTTAGACTTCACAACACCCCAACAACCACGGTCCCAGGTAGGGCTATAGCTTTAGTGCTTGCAAGCCAGGGGTAGCTGTCACCACCGACGTCAGTACCTACTCAAGCTCAAGTGTTTAGAGCTGGAGCTTCACAGCTCCGAAACAAATCACGTTTACAGTAGCAGTATCGGCGTCGGTCACAGAGATCACAGAAGGCACATAGAAGTAGTTCGTCATCGCTCATAAGCGTGTCATTGTATTTGTTGTACAAGAGGCTCAACCCGTGGTTTTCCAGTCCCCCTGGGACATTTATAATATCCTTGACGCCTTGCTCCGGGGTTTGACCAATACCCATACCCTCGAAAGATACAAAAACCAGAAAATTCATGAAAGACTGTTGAGTCTTGTTTCCCCACACACCGTTTCCAGACGTTTTATTATAGTAGGTAGAAGTCGGTTGCTCTGCTGGAAGCGAGTTCAAAGAACTGCACCGCTCTTTCGTCGTCTTGATTGTTCCTTGACCCGGTCGGGCCAGACAAACGTCATTAGTAGCTCCCGCGGCGGCAACCATTTTGCTCAGACACTGTGACAGCTTGCTGTCATCTCCGCGCGATCCATGCGATCCGCGCCACAAGGTCTTGACTTGTGCCTCACTTCTCTCGGAGATCAACCGCAATGCTGCCAACGTCGCATCCAAGTGAGGACGCGCCAGGTCGGAGCTGCTGGAAAAAATCTTCCTAAGAGACTGGAGACACAAGGTCATGGACCTTGGGCTCGAGGGCGTGGTTCGCGGCGGAGAAGTCACAAGATGACATAGCTTCCGAAGCGGCCGTGGTTGCGTCGTCGACAAAGAACTGGCTAATGTCGAAGTCGTCATAGATGTTGGACGAAGGAGAGGGGTAGTCGAGGAGGTATTCCTCGCTGAGGTTTGAAGAGCAAGGAGAATCGAAGATACCGTTCTTGACGAGACCGTTTTCAAGGACGAATCGGTCAGCGTCAGAGGAAGAGTCGTAGGAATCACCGAGGCTAAAAGCGACATCATCCGAAGCTGCCGGTGCCAGCCCAATGTTGGCGCCGTCAAGGTTAGCGACTTCTGGAACGACCTTAGCATCTCCGCCGACATGTGACACTGCAGGTCGGAAGACAACATCTCAGCAGGATGTTGTGCCAGGTCGGGAGAGGTGCTAGGGGTCAGTTCACAAGAAGTCACATCCATAGACGGCTCCTCCTTCACGGGGGTAGCGGCAGAGTCGGTTACCGGAGAAAGGCTGGGGGAGAGAGACGCAGGGTTGACAGTGGCGTGTGGGGGAGTCATGACATCGACCATGCCAGTGGCGTTTTGAGAGCCAAAGAGCTCTGGTGACAGAGTGACAGCGTTCTCTCGAAGGGAGTCCAGGGGAGAGGAAGATCGAGTAACAATTCCATAGGTGCGTCGGTACTGGGCGAGCTCGTTGGCGAGCAACATGTTGGTCCTCTGAAGCTCGCCAAGCTGGTTCTCGAGCTCCTTGTTCCTCTTCATGAGGGCTTCGGACTCGAGCCTCTTGCGTTCACGGGAAGACTGGGCGGCGCGGCGGTTACGGAGAACACGCTCGACACGACGCTGCTCCTTTTCATCTTCGGTCTTGGCTCGTTTCCTTGATGCAGTGTGAGGACCATGTTGCGACGTCATTGGTGTAAGTGGAGAGACATACCTAGGAGGGAGGTTTGTCTTGGGCTCAGGGAGGACCTGACCCCAGGACTTGCGCTTCTTGGTTGGCTTCTTCTGGGAAGAAGAGTCTGATTCAGGTGTTGAAGGCTCTTCCTTGATGGAGGCCATAGAAGGACTTTCTGCACCGGTAAACGACTTGGGTGTCATCATCTCCATTGGGTTCATAGTGGTAGCGTCAACTGGAGGTGTCGTAGCGTCGGTAAAGGACCCGGGGGTCATCATCTCTATGGGGTTCATCGTGGTAGCGCCAAATGGTTCATATGTGGGCTGTTTGGTTTGGTTGTGTCGGAATAGAGCTGCTTGCATAGCGGGAACCAGTTCTCTTTATGTTGAGGACACGTCGAGAGTTTGGAGGCTTGGAGCTTGTGGCATTTGGATGCCTGAGGCACCATCCCCTGAGATCCCCACCCCCTGAACGCTCGCTGAGGTCCCGATGGGGAAAGGTGGCGGGCGATACGTACCTCTGGGTACCAGGGCTGGCCGTCGTTACGAACAGGCTTTCAGGGGGCGCATCGGCATCGGCCCACCAGAAGCCACGCAGCAGGGCGCTGAGTCTTGTCCCCCACCGCTAGGCTTCAGGAGGGTGGCTCAACTGCAGGGGGCTGAGTCCATGGTCCGCGGGGCGGCGTGATTGGCGGGAGGCGGGCTGACACGCAACCTACCTGAGAGTCGGTGCCCACGGAGGGATCCACAGCCCGTTCGAGTTTCCAAAAAAAGGGGGCGATCAATCGGAGGCCGTGAGACTTGACTTGCGCACCCGCCTCTTGACGGAGCACGGAGGCTCGACCGGCCCAGGAGCCCGCGGCGCACCTGGGAGGAGACCATGTACGGAGCTTCTCGCTCCTTCTCCCTTGTTTCGAGCATGGTGCGGCGGGCGGCGGGAGTATTGTTTGCCCAGAACAGTCCGTCCGGGTCCTTTCTTAGGTTTCTTCAGGATGGCTGGTGAGTGGTGCGAGTCTATGTCGTGATTGGTGGATCCGTGAGTTGATTGATACCTACACTCGGTCGGCACGCGGAGAGGTATTGGATTGCCGTCCTCAGGCTCGTGTATGTGCTGTACATCTCATGTAGGCTGCCGAATGTTAATTTTAGGGGAGGCAACAATAGGTGAGCCCGGCTATCTACTCTACACGAGTCGTCGCGTCGTGTGGTGGTACAAGGCACCATTCATCACAGCTTCCCCTCACCCCAACGTCGTGAGATATGCTCTCGGCCATGGCTTTTTTAGAATTCCAGGCACAAGTGAGGGGGGACGAGTCCAACTCAAAGCTGACGCAGTAATGGATCAGCAACACATCAAAAGAAAATAATCCATATCTCGAGTCCAATCTTTTGCCTCTTGCGGAAACTTGATGGAGGAGCTATTTGCGCTCCAAGGCGTGTTCCATCTGCACAATGACGAGATGGGCTCATCTCAGGGAAGACGTGCGAAATGGACGGAAAGGAATGGCCTGGCACAGTGTGAGTCATTGCAGGCAGCCGAATAAAATACGCCAGGCTGCACTGTATTTTGCTTCGTTACGCAAGGCCTCACGGGCTGCAACGTTTCCCGAATAGCGCTCGCGACACTTGCTAGAGCCCGTCCGCCGCTCCACGGGACCACTCACTCCACCAAGACCAAAAGGCCGCGCCAGACAAAGGGAGTCATCCACCAAAGTCGATGCAGGGAAGCATCATCGCTTTGAGTCAGACCAAAGGGAGATGACGCAGCCTGCCACCAAGATACACTGAGATACCTACATACAACGCCAGAGTGCAGCATCGTGAGGAATCGAAACTAACCTCGGCCAAGGTCCCCAAGGGATCGGCTACAGACGCCGCAGTTCCAGGCAACCTCAGTGTTGCAGCTTGTGAGGTATGTGACCCAAAGAAGCCGGACAGGTCCCGAAAGAGAAGGTGATGGGGATGCATCAACGGAGGAGTAGCCATCATTAAGCCATGCCCAAGATACGACGTCGTAGCTCAACCAACTTTACTCGAGACGTCAAAACATGGAGTCTATCGCATCAACCCGACGCAAATAGGTACTGCCGAGTCTGTGAGTGATGAGCACCATGTACGCTTCGTAAGACTCGACTCGTCTCTTTCTCACTTACAGATCAGCGGCGTCTCACATGCTGATCTGACGCTGACTGGCGCAGCCTCGAGTGTGGACCTATGGCTTTCTTTCGTGTTCCAGGAAAAGAGCAAACACGGAAGATGGTGCATGACACCGTCCGGCCCTACCGGGTGCTATCCGACGCTCGCTCTAAGCATGAGCCCGTCTTTTTCTTCTTGCTGGCTCTAGAATCTCTGTCCATCCCTTGCTGGGGGGTAGCATATCCACCAAGACTCCATCTTGGCCATGATTTGAGAGCAGCTCGTCAAAGTCCACAGCGGACCATTCCATGTGGGCATCTTTTTTTACTCGCGTGTACCTTTTTTGGATCATCTCTGCCCTGAGCCAGCCACAAGCGGCCGCCAACTCGGAAATAGATCCAGTACTCCGTAGATAGTTTTCCCATCAGCGTCTCAACAGCATTTTGAGTTCCAAGCTTGCGCAGGCACACACGCAATTAACCCTTTGGAGAGCGTTGTGAGTTTAATTGATGATAGCATCACCTACGCCAAATGAGACCGTCAATGTCGCATCACATTCCGCAACTGTACTGTACCTGATGCGATTAAAGATTTTCACCCTGATGGAGCTCTACTCGTCAGTAAAAAGAAACTATTGTTGCACAGGAAAACTCAGCTCCAAGCCTCCCAGCCTCAAATTGTGATAGAGCCCGCCTCTCCGTCAAGCAGGCTATCGAGAGACGACGTCGTGTCTTAGCCCGCCCAAGCCCAGCGCATCACCGCCAATCCCCCTCCTCACCGGCCCCTCGGTCCCCTTCTCCTGCCTTCGGATCGCATCCCCGTTCCCTGGAATGTTGCGCTAGTCCCAGCCTGCTTGCTGGTTCTCGCGAAAAGCGGGCTGCCATGCCGTCGGGGAATCTCTTCTCCTTTTTCATCGAGGTTAGGGAAAGCGGGCGGACGATCCCGTTACAGCGCGAAACGGAGGGAGGGAAAGCCTGAGACACGGAAGGGAGAAACATGCCAAACTCAAACTCGCAGGCACACTCAGGGCTGAAACCCATTTGATGTCTCTTGTCTCACCGTAGATCTCCGTCTCACCAGCCCTCACTTTACCGCCCATTTCAGGGATTAACTCTTTCATTAATTGACTGATTGAATTCTCACACATCAGATCCCCCTCCAACGCCTCAAACTGCCCCTCCCTTCTTCCCATCAGGACCCTTACGATCAACTCATCCCTCGCTCAGCTCGCCTCATGCCCCTAGCTCTCTTCTCGTGTAGATAGTTCCCCAGCCGGGCACGATGGTACGTACGATAGTCTGACGATAGAGTTGCGAGCCAACAAGAGTCTGGGCAGTCGAGAAAAAAAGGGGATTGTGGATTCTCCCATTCCAACAGCCAACCACCCCTGGTCTGGCAATTTCACCCTTGTCAGAGCTTGATTTGATCCAATTGATCCCAAACTCGGGTTCCTGGGACCCCATTTTCAATCTCGTGGATCTCATAGTAATCTCATCTTATCTCCAGACATTATTTCCCCCCCCTGTCACCTCCCGGAGCTGACGGCCCAGAATACGACGAAATGGAAGCAATGGAAGCAGTTTACGAACCCACTGTAATAATAATTCCTCAAGCTCCGGGCATTCCCATATTAACAAAGTTCCCATCCAAATCTCCCGTGTCAGATAGCTACTGTAGTCATCTCCTTCTAAAACCTCGGCGTAAACTCGCTCACCACCCCGACAATCTCTGCCGTCACCCAGCCGCCTCGAAAGTCCGTCCGGTACGGCACCACCCGCTCCCCGTCGACAAACGACTGCCAAGGCCGCGCGTAGAAAGAGACGTAGCCCTTGAGGGCCTCGTACCCCGGCTTCGGTTTCTCGTAGGACCAGACCCTGTTGGCCAGGAGCCTGCCATCAGGACCCTTCACCGAGTAGTGTGTTCTGGGTCCCTTGAATCTGCACGGTGGGTTGTAGCCCGTGGGGGTGAGAGGGACCTTGAGGGATGACTTGGGAAGGTAATATTCTATATCAGTGTGTTAACGACCTGTGCGGGATCAACTTTGTCGTCTGGCCGAGAAACAAACCTGGTGGTCGATACTGCTCGAGAACCCAGAAGCCGTCCGACGCTTCAGCAACCTCCATGCCGTTGTAGGTGACTCGGACATGTCTCTGTATCTTTTCTATCCGTGGAACCTCTGGGAAGTCGTCCACGTTCATCTTTGGTCTAGGCGGAGGTGCCATTGGACCCGGGATTTGTTGCCGTACCCGTCTTTGATCGCGATGGGGCTCTTCTGAATCTGGTTGCTTTCGCTTCAGTTGCCCCTGCTGGCGTTGTGGAGTTGAAGATGGTCCATTTGATGCATTGGCATTCTGGTTATCGCTCGCTACCCGTCGCTCGGTTCGGCCTGGTTGAGCAGGAGGCAGCGGTGTTGCACTTGGAAGATGGACATTGCGAGTAGCTCTTCGATCGAGCAACTGCAGTTGTGGTGGCGCTGAAGGTTGCTCGTGAGTTATGACAATCGGATTGTCACTGCTTGAGCCCTGTTTCTCAAACTTGGACTGCTTCTGAACCAGAGATTGCCCAGAGGTTGCGCCTATGTTACGGGTATAGCTCAATGCGCCCCGGCCGAGTTGCCTCTGGTGTTGAGCAGCAAGTTGACCGCCAGTTGTGCGGGGACCCCGAGCATTGTTCCCACTCCGCCTGTCGAGAGACAACGACGCTTGCTGAACTTGATGTTGCGAGCGAGTTGCGGTCTGGCGATTTCCCGCATCTTGCTGCGTCAAGTGAGACCGCTGTGCTCTGTCTAGCTGCGGGTGTTGTTGAGCAGAGAGTTGTCTCGCGGTTGAGCCCGCTCTCTGGTCACCGCCATCGACCTGCGACAGCTTTTGTTGAGTTGGAGACTGTCTCACAGTTGTATCGGTGCTGGGGACATTGATCGACACCCGTCGGTTGAGTTGTGGTTCTGTCTGAGTTGTAGGTTGCAAGAAAGACGCGGTGTGCCCATCTCCCGTGTCCCCTTGTGCCTGTTGGAGTTGAAGTTGCTGGTCAAGCTGCTGGGGTTCCAGAGGCATAAGCCAGGTCCCATAATGATAGTAGCTTTCGTCTTCCTGGTCTTCTAGGTCTTGCTGCTCGAGGAACGACAGATATCCCTCAAACTCGAGGTCCAGATCCCTGGTCGACGTCTGCATCGTCGCGGTGTTTGTTGCAGCCTCGTGGACCGACCCTTGCAACTTGGAGAGAAGAGGCTTCTAGCAAAGAGCTGGCAAGTACAGGATAAAGGGCAAACTTATAGAAGCATCACAACTCATTGAATCTGGGATGACCGGGCTGTCGTCCTGTTTAATAATCTCCAACCTTGTCGCGATCCGTCCCCGTCACCCTTTCAACCATTCTCGTCGTCGCCCACCCACACGCACATCACACCTTGGTCGTCTTGTCTCTTTCCTCTTCCTTTTCCCGTCAGTCCGGCTCCCAATCTCCAAGCCTGATTGGTCGCCTGATTTTCCCAACTCCCCCGTCTCCCAGCAAAGTCCGATTAATATCGGCCTTCAAAGTGCAGCTGAGAAACAGGGTATTTGGCATAAAACATGGTGCTCTCTCCAGGGTAATGTCTCGCCTTGTAACCGATCCATTGGTCCCGATGCAAGATGTGGGAAGAATACCAAGCTTTTCGGTAATCAGATCATGGTAGATCTGCCTCTGCCAGCTCAAAAATGCATCCATCCATATCAGCAATATCCATACGGCTTCCATGGAATTCTTAATACTCTGCATTTTATCATGACATTATTTGATGCATTCATTATCCTCTTCCCAACAACTCCATCCTACTTATTAGCCAAGACCCTCCCGTGCCCAAGCGCTGAGTGGCTGTGCACTTTTCCAAGCCACAACTTTTCTTCTTTTCAGCTTCCGTGTGATTTTCCGTCCCGCCGTTGCGTCATTCGCCCACTCCCTCCCACTTCCCTGAATGAGTGAGAGTGGCGCCCCGCATCCGTATTCAGCAACAGGGCCCCGCGAGTCGTCCATCACACCCAAAGGCCGCTTCTAGGCTTTCGGCGCTTCCATGCTGCCTGACACTCACATGACATCTACAGCCTCCTTCAACCTCGACAGTCTCTTCTAAACGAAAAAAAACTCTTCATCGCTATCGCGTCTACCCTCGTGTCCCCTCCCCTCGCAAAGAAACCGCAACAATGTCGAACCGTCAGCAGGCCCGCGACATGCAAGTCGAATTCCAAGCCCGCTTCCAAGCCAAGCAGGCCCGCCGCGAGGCCCAAAAGGCTGCCAAGCAGGACCCCATCCTCAAGAAGCAGATCCAGGACCTCCTCAAGAAGGGCGAGACGCAAAAGGCCTACCAAAAGGCAAAGATGCTGCTCTCCAAGCAGGCCCTCGCCCAGCAGATGGACCAGATGGCCGACATGGCCGAGCTCTCGGCTGCCCAGATCCAGGCCAACAATGCCATGAACCGCATGACGCACATGATGGCTTCGTCGTCGCGAACCATGAACATGGCGCAGAAGAGCACAAATCCCGAAAAGGTGCGCATTTATTTGCCTTTGTACCTCTCCGTGACAAGACTAACATGATTGTCCAGACCCTCGTCACCCTTGAGCAGTTCAAGCAGCAAAACGAAGAATACGCCATGTCCAACGGTATCTACCAAGACGCCATCACCCAATCCACATCTACCCAAGTTGGCGAGGACGCAGTCCACGAGCTCCTCGGAAAGCTTGCCGACGATGCCGGTCTCGAGCTCAGCAAGGAGCTCAGCCAGGCAACACCCTCGACGGCCGAACCCCAGCAGGCCAACGAGCCCACCGCTGAGGAGGAAGATAAGCTGCAGCAGCGACTACGAGCTCTGCGCGCATAGGTACAACCATTTTTATTCGGCGAGATACGGAGTAGAGCGCCCGCCTTGTACTTGGGGGGGTAAGCGATGCATGCATTATGGTCAACGTCGGGGGTAGACGACAATCACTTTCTCTTGGTTACGGTTTGGCGTTGGGGTTTTGGGAGGCGACTTGATTTCATGTTTGCTTTGACATGACAGTGAGATCAACACATTTATGTCGGCTCTGAGAAGCGTACAATAGACATCAACACATATTTCTAGCATTTGCTTTTTTGTCTTCGTGAAACCAAATCATCAAACATGTCGTCTACATCCTAACATGGACGACTCCCATCGTCAGTCAATGCATCATCGTCGTAATACCAATACCCAATACCATGCCGCGCCTACATGTAAAGACTAGCCACTGCCGTAATATCCCTCTTGATCATCTCCTGCGCCTGCTGCATCTTCTGATACAGCTCTGGATCACCAACAATCCTCGCCGCGTTCTTCACCTCACGACATGTCTCGTCCAGTCGCGTGATCGTTCGCACAATAGTTCCCTCCAGCACATCGGTCAAGCCGGTGATATTCTTGAAGGTCATGCCCCTCGCCCATTCGTACACGACCTCCATGAGGCCAAAACGGGGTCGTGAAACAAAGTCGTTGGAGTCGTCGGTGGACTGAATCACCTGCAGCCGTGTTTGCACATCATTGACCTTCTCCGAGATGGCGACAATAGTATCACGGCCGCGCTCAAGGTTGCCAGTGAGTGAGGGTTCAATGTCCGTCTTTTCCTGGAACACAAACGCCGACAGAAGAGCGGCGATTTCGGCAGGCTCGTAGTCAGCGAGCACATTGTCAAGGATGAGTTCGGTGAGGACCAGCTCGTCTCCCGAGTGGATCTCACAAGCAACCTTGCCCTTGAGCTGAATACGAGTTGCCTCATCGATGAAGCCGAGCTCCTTCAATACCTGAACACGCTGCTCGTAATCAGGCAAAAGTTGGAGGTTCTGATCCGACAGAGACTGCTTCAACTGAGAAATGTGCTCCTTGATGAGCCACTCATCGTGACACATGGCAAACTGTAACGGGGTTAGAACCTAGACATACGATGGCAGGAACTAGGCTTGGCTTACATGCTTCAAGAAGTTTGGACACTTCGTAGCTGGTGAGCTTGATATCGTCTTGACCAGGTCGACCCTCTTTTCTACAATCTCTTGCAGTTGGAGCTGCTTGATCCGCGAGAGATCAAGCTCCTCCCATTTATCACTCCATGAGCCGCAGAGCTCCTGAAGACGTTCCTTGGCTTGGTGATAGCCGTCACCGCCCTGGAAAATCTCTGGAAGAATACCCTTGGTTACCCATCTGGTGAGACACTCCACGTCACTCAGCGGAACGTGAAGGGTCTTGGTTTGCATCCGCTTCTTGCTCTTGGGAAGCTCATGGAAATACTTGGTGAAGGCAGGAATAAAGGGGAGCTGGTCGGTTGCGTCGCGTCGCTCTCGGAGGGACTTGATGGCACAGACGTGCAGTGTTGGATCCTCCGACGTGCCCTTGTTGCTAATACCGTCCGCTAGGAGAATGCCAACGGAACGAACACCGTCCCAGTTGAACACAATGAGGCGGTTCGAGGAGAACATTCTGCGGCCGATTGGGATGGCCAACATGCCCTTGTACAACTCGAATGTGAGTCGCTTGAAATCTTGGGCGGCCTGATGACACTCATCCATTGAAACATCACAAATCTCACAAGAGTCTCGCTTGACCTTTGCCAGATCTGCCTGTGCCAGCTTGACATCCTTCTCGTGCTCTGGAAGTAGCTGCTGTGTAGCATGCTCAGAGAAACTGCGCTTAATCATCTCTTCGATCTTCAAGGCTTCCACACGGAGCAGGTTGAGAATCATGTTGTATGTGAGTCGGAACTGGGATCGTAGCTTCGAAGGCTCTCCCAGAATCATGTTGCGTAGGTCTGCAACCGGAGGAGCGTCGTCAAGTCCACCAGGGGGGACAATGATGACTGATCCAACAGTATCCAGACCACGACGGCCAGCTCGGCCAGCCATCTGTGTATACTCACCAGGTAGTAGGTTTCGGAACGAGTGTCCGTCATGCTTGCGGTATCCAGAAAAGACAACTGTTCGTGTAGGGAGGTTCAGGCCCATAGCAAATGTTTCTGTGGCGAACAGCACCTTGACAAGTGTCTGTGCAAACAGAATCTCAACGAGCTCCTTGACGATGGGTAAGAGTCCGCCATGGTGAACAGCAATACCTCGGCTCAGGAGCTCTCGTAGTCTGATAATCTGCGGTAGCTGTCTGTCTTCTGGCTTCAACCGAGCCACAGACTTTTCGATAATCATGTGAATATGACTCTTCTCTGTGGCGTTGCAAAAGTCCTGGTTGCTGAGAGCATCGGCATTCTCCTCGCATCGCTTCTTTGAGAAGACAAAGATACAGGCCGGGAGGAGGGTCTGCTTCTTGAGGAACTGGACAAGATGAACCCAGAGGTTCTTGTCTTGCGCAACCGACGTAAAGCCACCTGCGCGGCCTCCACGGCCCATGTGGCCAGGGGCATGGCTTGCTCGAGGAGGTCCTCCACGACCTCGTTGCTGGTTTCCTCCTCTTTGCTGACCCCCTCCTCGGCCACCTCTTTGGGGTCCTCCTCGCTGCGGACCACCACGCTGGTTTCCTCGTGGGTTGCCTCCTCGGGTTGCAACGGTGGTTTTAGCGGCCTCGGGCTTATCCTTTCCTTGGATAGTATGGTGTGCGTCCTTCCAGCCCTTCTCGATAAACTTCTTCTCCGAATCCACAATCTTGTGGATATTCTTTCCAGCCCAGAGGTAGTGCTCCAGGGGCACAGGTCTCTTTGGCGTAGAGATGACATAGATGTCCTTCTGCTTTGTCCGTCCGACCCACGAGGCAAACTCATAGGTATTGGGCACCGTGGCTGATAGTAGAATGAGGGAGACATGCTCAGGCAGCATGATAATGACTTCTTCCCACACGACACCACGTTCAAAGTCGTTGACATAGTGAACTTCATCGAAAATAACAAACTCGACATCTCGAATCAAGTCAGCTCCTCGGTAGAGCATACTTCGCAGAATCTCGGTCGTCATGATTAGGCAACTAGCCTCAGGGTTGATCTGGACATCACCAGTAAGAATTCCCACCTCATCGAAAGTCTGTCGAAAGTCGCGGAACTTTTGGTTGCTCAGCGCCTTGATGGGAGAGGTATAGATGGCCTTTGTCATGTGCTTGGCCGCTAGGGCTATCGCATACTCTGCCACCACTGTCTTGCCAGCTGAAGTATGGGCAGCTACAAAGACGGAGTCACCATTCTCGAGATGGTAAACGGCCTCCTTCTGAAAGGTATCGAGTTCGAAGGGCCACTCCCTCGCCATGTCGGGAACGAGTTCTCTGAAGTTGGACATGTCGTGGTTAATATCGACAATGTGCGCCCACTCACGCCCAGCCTTGCGGGCACTAGACGCTGCAAGGACGCCATGAGGCTCCAAGGCCGGGAACTCGACGGGAAGAATGCTGTCAATGTCGTCGCCATCTTCGCCAGAGTCTGGTGTCAGATCTGGGGTAGCAGTTTCAGGAGAAGCGTCTTCGCTCGCATCGGGTGCAGCCTTGGCTTCCTCCGGATCCTCCTCAAGCACCTCCTTGATGGCATTCGCATCTTCCTCGTTGACGGTCGTTTTCTTGGTAAAGTCGATACCTCTGCTCATCCCAGGAGCAATCTCGAGCAGGCCACCTTCAGCACCTAGCTGAATCACCCTTTCCAGCTTGTTTCCAGAACCAGAAGACTTGGCAATGTCTCCAGAATGAATTTGATCTTCAAACGCCGCAGTTGCTTCAATGCCCTCAAGACCACCAGGCGCAAAAGGAAAGAATCCAGCAGCACCTCTCACAAAGTCTGCGCGATTGGCAGGTTTTCGTAGCAAGCTGGTCGAATTCTTGGCGGTAGCGCTGTTGGCAGGCACTGTGACGTTCCTGTAGCCTGTAACACGACCTTCCAATCCATGGCGTTGAAATCTAGTGAGAGTTCTCGTGTGCGGCGGTGCCACCTTGAACAGAGACGTGTAGTCAGCCTCAAAATCCCATCGTTGCTGCAGTCGGTTGAGCCATTCGGGCGAGAACTCTGGCGAGGGTGTGAGGAGAAGCTCCTCAAGGCTGCGCTTCAGCTCATCAGGTTCTTGGGTGCGAGGTTGGCGCTGGCCGGTGCCTTGTTGCTCTCCTTGAAGGAGGGCGTCTATACCAGCCATGCCCGTTGAGTTGACCGTGAGAGCGGGCAAGGTAGTGTAGGCAGCTTAGCGATTGTGTTACTGAAGTGTTGTAGATGTTGGAAGCTCCAGGTTGAAAGTGCCCCACCATTACGTTGTGATTCTGACACCCATTCCGATGCGGGACGTCCACCCCGCGACGGATATTTCGACTACCCTATATCTTAACACCAAATTTTGGGAAGAGCTTAAAAGAACCTGTTGAATCGAATTTTGGCAATTGAAGAGTTTGCACGTGTGAGTTATGGTTTATAGGCAGTTAAAAAGTTAGATGCTGAGTAAATTTGACAGCAAAATCAGAAACTATAAGTGGCCTGTAAGGACAAACTCTCAGCTTCAGCCTTATACCCAGACCGAAATCGGCATCAATTGGGTCAGCAATTTTATGCCATGGCCTCACATCTTGAACCACATACAAGTAGATTTTAGATCATTAATAAGACGGGTGCCGTGCCCTGACTGTATACATAGCAACACGGAGTAAAATTACATTTCCTTCCCTTCCGCACATCTATCAAGAAGCGTCCAACAGTTACGCCAGTTTGAACCAGCCTCCCATCCAGCGCCTCAATCCCTTGAAGGGATGACGCTCAGCGCTTCTTACCCTCTACCTCACTCGTCATATGAGCACGGGCGCCGTCAAGGGACGAATGCGCTCATGGCTGAACCGGTTCCCGTCCCGTCTCTTATTCTCCTTTTTACAGTCGCAGCAGCTTGGCAGCGTAGTCCTCGATCAGCTGCTCAGTGGGGAAAGCCATCTCCTCGAGCTTTTGGGCATAAGGAGTAGGGACCTCGGAACCAGTGACTCGCTGGGCGGGGGCGTCAAGGTAGTCGAAAGCGTACTCCATAGTCAGAGCAAGGATCTCGGAGCCGACACCGAAGGCGGGGAAGCCGGACTCGACAGACAGGAGACGGTGTGTCTTCTTGACGGACTGGATGATGGTCTCAACGTCGAGAGGCTTGATGGATCGCAGGTTGATGACCTCAACGTCGACACCGTACTTCTTCTTGAGGTTCTCGGCGGCAACGAGGGACTGACCGACAGTGCGGGACAGGGAGACGATGGTCAGGTCCTTTCCAGAGCGCTCAATCTTGGCCTTGCCGAAGGGGATGACGAAGTCGTCCTTCTGGGCAGCCTCGGACATGGGGAAGGCCTGGCCGTACATCAACTCGTTCTCGAGAACGACGACGGGGTTGGGGTCGCGAATAGCGGCCTTGAGAAGACCCTTGGCATCCTCGGCGCTCCAGGGAGAGACGACCTTGAGGCCGGGAATGCTGCCGTACCAGGCGGAGTAGTCCTGGGAGTGCTGGGCACCGACACCAGCAGCGAAACCGTTGGGGCCACGGAAGGTGATGTTGCAGGGCTGAATGCCACCGGACATGTAGAGGGTCTTTGCGGCGGAGTTGATGACCTGATCGATGGCTTGCATGGCGAAGTTGAAGGTCATGAACTCGCACTATATGACGGCAAACATTGGTCAGTAATGCGATTCGAGTATAGCCGATATGTAAAAGCTACTCACCACGGGGTGAAGACCGCTGAGAGCGGCACCAACAGCAAGACCACAGAAGCCAGACTCGGTGATGGGAGTGTCAATGACACGCTGGTCGCCGAAGCGGTCCAGAAGACCCTTGGTCACCTTGTAAGCACCGTTGTACTGGGCGACCTCCTCGCCAAGGACGAAGACCTTAGGGTTGGCCTCGAGCTCCTCAGCAAGAGCCTCATTGAGCGCATCTCGGACGGTGACCTCCTTGACACCAGAGCCGGAGCCCTCAGCGTAAGACCGGGTCTGGGAAGAGCCGAAGAGGACGGGCCTGGCGAGAGCAGCGCGGGCAGCGGCGGACTGGGCGAACGAGGTAGTGGCAGGAGCGCGAAGAACTCGGGTCGAGGCAGCTAGGCGAGCTGCAGGTCGGAGGATGCGAGACATGATGAAGATGGTGGACTGTCAATTGACCCGGGGAGTCGTGGGGACGGAGGGCGGTCGACGGAAGTCGGAGGACGGAAACTTCAAGATCAAGAAGCTGCAGATGCCAAACTTCTCTTGGTTTCCCGGGTCGTCGACGTGGACGTGGGAATTGAGGATGGTGATGAGCTTGAGGGTGGTGGTGCGAGGTGAACAACGTCGGGTTGAGAGAGGGAATTTCACCGAACGACGCTGTTTGATGGCCAGCTTCCAGTTTTTTTTTGGGGCCGGTCGGTACGTATCGTACCGGAACTGCGAGGTACCCGGGTCCTTACGAAAATCTGGTGGAAGACGAGGTACCCGCCCGCAGGAATCCCCGAGCAAACCTCCGTTAGCTCGGGGCAGCTTTATCCCTCTGTGGTCCCCGCCCTACAACGCCTTTGAGCCACCAAACGTGCGCCCCCCTATCAGTAGAATCGCAGCACTGTTATCGGCGAGAGGCCTATCACAGCTCAGAATGCTCCCTTGGCGACCCCGTCAACCAGTCTGTTGGGGGGATCCAGGGGAATTTTGGGGGACCATCCCCACTCACCACAAACAAAACCAAACCAAAGGGCAACAGAAAACGGTCAGGATCGGAGAAATGAGACACCGATGTTGGGTTCCTGATCATCTTCGTGGCCGTTGAAGAGTGGACATGATCCAATTCTGGCAGGCACTCACGATCATGACACTAGGACATATATCATGTGATGTTTAACATTGGAATATTATTATTAAATACCAGTAATGCCCCCAACTCCTCTGCCTTTCTCAATTCCTTTATATCTGAGGCCGGCCCCCTTCATGAATGCATCATCAGCCAGCACATGCTGCTTTTTCGACCCTCACAATTGTCTTTTCTATTGAATTTTGATTTGAAGCCCATCACTTTACGCAGCAGGCTTGCGGGCCACCATGAGGTACATGGGGGTGAAGAGGTGCTCCTTGGCACCGGCGACCAGGCAGTCGGCAGCCAGGGCGAGACTGTCGGCAGTCTTCTTGGTGCCGGGGGGAGCGAGTCGCAGAGTCTCGAGGACACCAGCCAGGCCGTGGGCAATAGTTCGGCCCCAGGTGGTCATGCGGACAATGGTGAAGATATCACCAACGGACTGGATGTAGCGGAGCTCACCAGCCAGAGGCCAGTACCAGGGAAGGGGGTCAGGGCGGTCTGCCAGATCCTCGTGGTGCAGCATCTCAAAGCCAGAGTCGTGGATGGCGGCAATACCCTCAGAGATCTTGCACATGTTGGAGATACCATCACCCTGCTCGATACCCAGTCGGATCTCACGGTGGTGGAGGTTGTCGTTGTCGTAGTCGTCGGTCATGAGCCACTCGTAAACACCAAAGACACCACCGGGCTTGAGGACACGGAAGATCTCGCTGTAGATGCCCTTGAGAGTAGGGGCATGGACAGTAGCCTCGATAGCGTAGACGGCATCGAAGCTGTTGTCAGGGAAAGACATTTGCTGCGAGTGAGTTAGCCAATGCTGGTCTTCAGAGAAGTCCAGGAACTACATACCATGAAGTCACCCTTGACAAAGGTGAGCTGGTTGGACAGACCCTCCTTGAAGGCGTAGTGGGTAGCACGCTCGATCTGGTAGTCGTTGTTGTTCAGGCCAGTGATGTGAGCGCCGGTGAACTTGGCGATCTCACGAGCGGGGCCGCCAACACCGCAGCCGACATCAAGGACCTTCATACCTTCCTTGATGCCGATGTGGTGGGCGAGGTAGTGCTCATGACGGGCGATGGCCTGGTAGAAAGGCTCGCCAAGTGAGTATCGGCAGAAGTGGAAGGACTGGCCCCAGCCGTACTCGTATAGATCGGTCGCGAGGTTGTAGTAGCTATCGGCCAGATGTTAGCACAAAGTGGCTTGGGAGTTGGCAGGCTAGAAAGCCACCGCCAAAGAGAGACAGAGGAAATCATGGGCGTCACTCACTGTCGTGTCAAAGTGGCGTACTCGGCGGTACGGGCCTGAGTGTTATGTTAGTCCCCGCCATTCAGGAGAGGGGCAGAGTGGTTTCATACAGCGCGCTCCTCAGCAGTCTCGTTCTCAGCGGGCTTGTTGTCCCAGTGCTTGAAGTACTCGTCGACAGCGGCCTGCTTGGCAGAACCGCCCTTTCGGAACATGGCAGCGACACCACCTCGAGCCTGAGCAGAGGAGCCGTGCATGGCCTTGTTGAACTCGGCATCGCGCTTGTGGTCCTCGCGCTCGAGGTTGGAGGCGGTCGATGAAGCAACCATGTTGAATGTGGGAGAGAAGGTTGAAAGGGAGGAAAAACAACAGCTGACAAGCAAGAGAAAGATTAAAAGGGTTGAGAGGGCGATCAAAAGTCAATCAATTGAAAAAACTCAGAGTTAGAAAGGGAACAGCGTTGGTTTTAAACATCGACGGGCAACGTAGCGACGGCAATGTCGACAAATTTCAGGGCCCTCCCCTGAACTGGGCCATCCATCTGCATCCAATCTCAATCGCGAATTGAACAGCAACCGGGCGCTATACCACATGCGGATTAGAGCCCCTGTCTATCGCTTGGGGTGTCGGGGGCGTTTTTTGGTCTGGGCAACTGCAACGCACTCGAGGCACCTGTGTGCCTGTAATACATCCCCACACGACTTCATCGTTTTGGCGGGCAAGAGCAGAGCTTGCACATGCTTCCGGTGCGCAACAGGGTCGCTGATTCGGCGTCGCACCCACTGGAGGACAGCCACCCCGGCACCCGAGTCGCTTGGTTCCGGGGGTTCTGGGCGGTGAGGGTGCAGTTTGCAGTGGTTAAGGAGCAAATCGGGCTGTGCCAATTTGCGAGAGCCCCACGATACGAATACGAAAGCGCTGAGTTCCTTCCGAAAAAGACGACCGCGCGTTTACTTGGACAACATCTCTGCATCAACTCGCCAAACAAGATTGACGACGGATCGTGGCGATGGTTCCCGGTTATGATAGATGAGATTTACTCATGCTCGACACCCTCATGATGAAACTCCTTTTATGACGAGTTGCGTCGTGTTGATCAATGTCTCCTCGGCTCGTTTTCGTACCTGGCATCTAATCTAGCAACTGGACGGATATATCCACTTGAGTGCCAACGTAGTGCAACTCCGGATCTACAAGGTATGATCCGTCTGGAGTAACTAGAAGATGATGTTGACGCCTCAGATCATGTATCCGATACTCTCCGTCTCAAACGGTCTGTCTCTCCGTTACCCTGTTTCCAAGATACAACTCCGGAGATGGCACGGAGATGGACAAAAATTATTATTAAGAAATGAGTTTGAATGAGCCAATTCATCGGAAACAAGGTCTAGTTGGGCTTCCGTATGCTTCCTTTTCCGGGCCTTAGGGTGAAATGCCGAGGCTTATCGATAAGGTAAGCGCCCCTCAGCCCAATGGCGGCCAACTCCGGCTCTGCAGCTGCATGCCTGAGGTCATTGTTACGCTTACATAAGGTGGCGGGTGACTGAATTTCTCAAGTCCTGCCCTGCGCGCCGCAACTCCAAAAGAACCCCGGCGCCCCATCACGATAATCACCCGGCCGCCTTTGCGCTTTCATCACTCCACCTATTCGCGATGCCGCCTCAGATCAAGCAGGACCTCAACCGCTCAGGATGGGAATCGACCGACTTCCCGTCCGTCTGCGAGACGTGTCTGCCTGAGAACCCCTACGTCAAGATGATTAAGGAAGACTACGGTGCCGAGTGCAAATTGGTAAGTAAGACCATATTGTTTTCTCGCGTTTTCGCGTAGACACAATGCTAACTCGTCTTGAACCAGTGTACTAGACCTTTCACCGTCTTTGCATGGAGCGCCACCCGCGCCCATGGCCGCAAGAAGAGAACAAACATCTGCCTGACCTGCGCGCGACTCAAGAACTGCTGCCAATGCTGCATGCTCGATCTTTCGTTCGGTCTCCCAATCGTCGTACGAGATGCCGCCCTCAAGATGGTCGCCCCGGGCCCGCAGTCCGATATCAACAGAGAATACTTTGCCCAGAACAATGAGAAGCTCATCGAGGAGGGTAAGGCTGGAACAGAAGAATACGAGAAGACGGACGAGAAGGCGCGCGAGCTGCTGCGCCGACTCGCCAACAGCAAGCCCTACTTCCGTAAGGGCAAGGCTATTGAGGATGCTGGCGAGGGCTCAAAGGGTGGAAACGCTGCTGTCGGCGCTGGCGTCGGCGGACCTGGACCGATTCGAACACGAGATACAAAGGCAGCCATTGCTGCAGGAGCAAAGACTAGCGTTAAGGGTCGCCAGGTCTTCCCCAGCGCTGCCCAGCTGCCCCCGAGCCCGCGCGATTGGCAGCCCCCTGCCGACAAGAACGTCATGTCACTCTTCGTGACCGGTATCGAAGACGACCTGCCCGAGTACAAGCTACGGGAGTTCTTCAAGGTCCATGGAAAGATCAAGAGTTTGGTGTGCTCGCACATGTCACACTGCGCGTTTGTCAACTACGAAACTCGAGAGGCAGCGGAGAAGGCGGCGGAAGCCTGCCAAGGAAGAGCCGTTATTGCAGGATGCCCACTGAGGGTACGATGGGGACAGCCCAAGGCCATTGGCACTATGGATAAGGAGCAGAGGGCTCAAATGTTGAAGGATGCCAAGCAGCGTCAGGCGGGGGGTCAGGGTCAACGGGCGATCGAGGGTGGCAGAGGCGCTGGAACCAGGCCAGCCGCGTTGCCTGCGCCAGTGGCAGCGCCCCCTGGAGCATCTGATACGCCTGCATACGCCTCTCTGACCGGAGACTAAGAAACGAGTACATGTCTGTCTTGTCAGCGGTTGAAGGGTAGAGTTGTATGTTTTTGGTGTTTGGCGTTTTGGAAAACGGACACAATGGAAGGACGGGCTTCATTAGCGAAACGGACAACTGAACATGGTGGATTAGGGGACACAAGAAGATGAAGGTTCCGATTCAATTCGATTCAAAAAGAGATAGAGAGATGATGATCATTTTGGGCATTATTCTTGGGGGTATGGTATCATGACAGTAATGTTACAAGATTGTACAATTGGAGACACTCCTCTTATTCTTATCGACCGCCGCCACCGCAGCAGCCACCTCCCGTCGTGTTGCCGCTTCCAGCAGTAAGGATAGACTCGTTGTCTCCTCGCTCCGTGTGCTCGTGTATCCGTAGCTCTGAGGCCATTGTTAGCATCATGACCTCTGCCCATGACAGGTGCAAGACTGCACTGTATCCGACTTACTGTATGTATCCTTGCCCTCCTCTGTCTTCTTGCCCTGCACCACGTTCTCGCGAAGAACCTTGGCCACCTCCTCGGCGTGCTGGATGGCGGCCGAGGCACCAGTGGAATCGATCGAGGCCTTTTGGCGGAACTCGTTGCGGATCTGTACCTGTGCGGCCGAGAGGATTTGGGTGTCACCTGTAGGAAGAGAATTGTTAGTATCATTGGGAAATAGTCGACTTTATGAGTACAAGCCAAAGAGGTTGAGGTATTGTCATGAAGCCTTTCGTACCTTGGAAGGCGATCCGCGCCGCGCGCATCAGGTGTCGGTAAGCATTGAGGGCAGGGACGGTTGCCATGATGATTATTTGAACAAGTACTAAACAATGACTATATCCAAACGAGTGAGAGGTTTGTTGTGACTTGTTGTTGTCGGCTTGAGAATCGAGTTGAAGGCGGCGATAAATCGGAAGAGAAAAAAGAAGCCATCCATTTGTCCCGAGGCGTGGAATTCCACGGCTTTGGTTGGTCAGCGAGATTCCATCCCGCGACCACTGAACTACAGTGGGTTGGCTTTGACAACGCTACCTATCGAACAGCAGACATGATGCCCCATGCTGGTCAAGAAACGAACGAGACACCAGCTCCCCTCAAGCAAAATGACTAGCTAAAGATACATCAGAACTATCATAAAGCTTTAGAGCTCCTTTGGATATTATTGCTATACTCTCTCTAATCTTTATAGGAGGATAACCTAAAGCGTTTATCTAAGCTTCTGTCTTTTTGCTGGACCGGGTGTGCCCGCTGTAACCACTCTCAATTTAGTGCTATTCCCACTGAAGAGGCGCCCCTCACCCCACCAAACCATTCATGGTGGGGGAATTCGACATGTGCGCTTAGAGAAAAAAAAGTTCACCACCAAAAAAATCGGGATTTTTCTCTCTCTTCACATCACCAACGACACCCGCCAGATCACACAACCATGGCTTCCGTGGCTACAGTGACCCTCCCCCTTCCCGCCCTCCCTAGTGGATGGAGCGCAGAAAAGGACTTCAAGGCTATCGGTCAGCTGTCCGAGGCCACACAGCGCAGCATCGAGCCCGTTGGCCCTCACTTCCTCGCCCACGCCCGACGAGCCCGCCACAAGCGCACCTTTTCCGAGGATGACCGCATCCAGGCCCAGGAGAGCGCCAAGAAGGTCGAGGACGGCGACGAGAGCGACGAGAGCGAGCCCGAGGACCCCATGATGCTTCAGCGTGAGGCCAAGGACTGGAAGGTATGTTTTGAATTTCTGGCAAACCGAATTTCTTTCAGCCTGTTGTTTTAGAGTCCCGCTAACACACTCTCTACAGACCCAGGACCACTACAAGATTCTCGGCCTTTCCAAGTACCGCTACAAGGCCTCCGAGGACCAGATCAAGAAGGCCCACCGCAAGAAGGTCCTCAAGCACCACCCCGATAAGAAGGCTGCCCACGGCGGCGAGGACGACGACCAGTTCTTCAAGTGTATCCAGAAGGCCACTGATGTCCTCCTCGACCCCATCAAGCGCCGCCAGTTCGACTCGGTCGACGAGGAGGCCGACGTCGAGCCCCCCAACAAGAAGCAGCTCCAGAAGGGCGACTACTACAAGCTCTGGAGCAAGGTCTTCAAGTCCGAGGCTCGCTTCTCCAAGACACACCCTGTTCCCCCCTTTGGCGGCTCCGACGCCACCAAGGAGCAGGTTGAGGATTTCTACAACTTCTGGTACAACTTTGACAGCTGGAGAACCTTCGAGTACCTCGACGAGGATGTCCCCGACGACAACGAGAACCGTGACCAGAAGCGTCACATGGAGCGAAAGAATGCCAACTCGCGCAAGAAGAAGAAGGCCGAGGACAACGCCCGTCTTCGCAAGCTGCTTGACGACGCCTCAGCCGGTGACGAGCGTATCAAGCGCTTCCGACAGGAGGCCAACGCCGCCAAGAACAAGAAGCGTTTCGAACGCGAGGCTGCTGAGAAGAAGGCTAAGGAGGATGCTCAGGCTGCCAAGGAGGCAGCTGAGAAGGCCGCTAAGGAGGCTGAGGTCGCGGCCAAGGCTGACCGTGAGTCTGCTAAGAAGGCCAAGGAGGCTGCCAAGAACGCTGTCAAGAAGAACAAGCGTGTGCTCAAGGGCTCCGTCAAGGACGCTAACTACTTTGCCGCCGGCGAGCCCAGCCCTGCCGATATCGACAACGTTCTGGGTGATGTTGAGACCATCCAGGGCAAGATCGATCCTGATGAGATTGCTGCGCTGGCTGGCAAGCTCAACGGTCTCAAGGTCGCTGACGAGATCAAGAGCGTGTGGAGCGGAGAGGTCAAGAGACTGGTCGAGGCTGGCAAGCTCAAGGACGGTGATGTCAAGGTCCTGGCTTAAAGGCGAGATAACGTTGGTACATGGTGTGTATGTCGGGATATGACGGTTGGTAGATAAAATAGATATGATGATATGGCCCCTAGATTAAATACGACGAGTTGGATATGCTCAAAATGCTATCCAGCTACGTTACCCCCTTCAAACCCCATCCTTGAATCTATAGTGACACTTGTGTGAAATATTGTGTGATAGATGACCTTGTTATTACTGTGGCAGCGTGCCTATTGCAAATTCCTTCTCCAAGCTCTCCCGAGCAGTCATATACCAATCATGGAGAGACCATGCGGTTGATACAAGTTCAATGTGTTCAGCCATACAAAAAGTATGGTGATGTTCTTGATTTCCTGAGCGGAGGTGCAACTCCTGGAGTTCATGTACAGTAGAGAACTAGATCCCCCAACCCAACGCCAGAGTAGGGATGAGCCTAAGAGCAGAGTAGAATAGGTATCCCCAGTATGTCCAAAATGACCAAACGCCCTGTATGCCTGTGCCCCTTGTCTTACAGATCATAACACCTCCCCGTGACCCTATGCCTCTCTATCCAAAGACTGTCCCAACACCATCTCATAATAAATTCCCTTCTTTGCCACCAACTCCTCATGCTTTCCCCTTTCAACAACTCTTCCACCAGAGAACACAGCAATCACATCAGCATCCCTGATGGTGCTCAACCGATGCGCAACAGCAACCGTCGTCCTCCCCTCTGCTGCCCGATCCAACGCCTCCTTGACCACCTTCTCCGACTCCGTGTCCAATGCACTTGTGGCCTCATCTAATAGAAGGAGACGTGGCTTGCGAATAAGGGCTCGTGCTATGGCGATGCGTTGACGTTGTCCGCCGGAAAGGGAGAGACCTTGGTTTCCACATGGTGTGTGTAGACCTTCAGGGAGAGAAGAGACAAAGTCGTAGACATTGGCTTGCTTGCAGGCTGAAACGATGTCTTCGTCTGAAGGAACACCTTCCTCAATGCCGAGAGAGATGTTATCTCTGATGGAGCCTTGATACAAAACAGGTTCTTGCTGGACGAGGGCAATGTCTCGACGATGGAGACGTCGATCCTTGGTCTTGATATCTTGACCGTCTGCACGGATCAGACCCGACTTGGGGTCGTAGAATCGCTCAAGTAGCGCAATCATGGTCGATTTGCCACAGCCAGAAGCACCAACGAGGGCTACCATCTTGCCAGACTCGATACCGATATCGATCCCCCGAAGAACCTGTAGTTTGGGACGGCGAGGATAGGCAAAGTCAATATCCTCACAGGAAACCTCAAGCCCCTTTTCAGAAGATCCCTTCTCGCTAACAGCAGCATCAGGGCCGTTCTCATCGTTGTCATAGAGAATCTTCTGGCGCCGAAGTTGAAAGATGTAGTTGATCGAAGTTCGTGCCTTGGTGACACTCGTACTATACTGGAACAGCATAGCTGCTGCTTCTCCGGAGAAGATGACGGCAATGAAGATGACATAGAACTGGTCGGTCGAGTATTCGCCTGTTGAGACAAGACGTCCACCGTACCTACTGACTGTCAGCACCCTATTCTTTGCAAGGGGATGAAGAATTGCTTACCAGAAGCCCAGAGCCATAGCCAGGAAAGAAGCCGACTGACTGAAGGCGTAGAAGAGCATCTTCCATCCCAAACTACCAATAGCTTCTCTCGCAAGTCCCTCAAGAGCACCACTATATCTCTCGATAATAGCCCGCTCAAGCGCCAGCGACGAGACAGTTCGAATACCAAGCACGGCTTCTGAAGCTAAGCTGCTACTCTTTGCAAACCGATCAGCTGCATCGTCGTCGAACTTGTACTCGAGACGAATCCGCACGTATCCCGAGCCAACGAGGACTGGCAAAGCGCCAAGTGTCAGGACAAGACCGAGCTTCCAACCGTATGCAACGGCGAGGACAGCACTGGATATGACGGTTACACAGTTGATCAGAATAAGCGCCACGTTGATTGACAATAGTTCCTGAAGGTTCGTAGGCTCAGCTGCCAACCTCGAGACGAGAGCACCAGTTCCACGATTGGGGTCGTCGAAGAAGGTCATGTCTTGTCGAAGGGTATTGTCAAAAAGCTCCCCACGGTAAACTGCCATGATGTGCTAGAAGACCAGTTAGTTCCATTGTTTTACTAGAGTGGCAGACGAATAAGTCTTACTTGACCGACTTCGTTGCTGACCCAGCCAGCAGCAGCATAAACAACGAGATTTCCAAGGGCAACAACAAAGAACATGAGAGAGAAGAAGTTGGCCTTGCTAACGTCTTTCGTCTCAAACGCTGTCATGGTTCTCGAAAAAAGAATGGCCAATGAAGGGTAAGTAGCGCCTGGGATGGCTCGAGTTAGTGTATAAGATCAAGCAAAAAAGGGGTCGACTTACCTCCAAACAATGCAACTATTACCAGGATGAATCCGTGAATCCACAATGGCCTCTGCTCTTTCACCACCAAGGCGAGACCCTTCAAAAGTCCATAGTTGATCTCATCCTTGTTGGTGATATCGGCTGTTGCATGTGCCGAAGCACGGGATAGAACTGGGTCGAGGCCAGCAACAGGTTCATCCTTTTCCGTATCGTCATCTTCCTCTGATGAAGCACCTTTACCAAGATCTTGCAGACGGACAAGACGTGAGTAGGTTCCGCCCATTTCAATAAGTTCCTTGTGTGAACCTTGCTCAATAGTATCGCCCTTGGCCATGACGATGATATTGTCAGCGTCTCTAATAGTAGAGAGCCGGTGAGCAATGACAATCATGGTTCGACCCTTTGCAACATTGTTCAAAGCCTGCTGCACAATCTTTTCTGCGTTTGGGTCGAGGGCACTGGTGGCCTCGTCGAGCATAAGCACCTTGGGGTTGGAAATGATGCTTCGAGCGATAACCACGCGCTGCTTCTGTCCGCCAGACAAAGATGCACCTCGCTCACCAATCCAAGTATCATAACCCTATCCCAGAGTTAATAGTGGTCCTTGAGACGGTGTGTCGCTACTTACATTGGGCAAAGTCTCAATAAAGTCATGGGCGTAGGCTGACTGACAAGCCTCGATGACCATTGCGCGCTTTTGGTCTTCTGGCAGGTCAGCCATGTTCGTGCCGGTGAGACCATCCACGACATTCTGATAGATTGTCCCACTGAACAAGGTTGGTTCCTAGTAGACACTGTTAGTACAATGCCTCTCTACCCCTTGATACTAGGGCCGTACCTGTTGCACCATCCTGATATTTGTCCTCAGCCATTGCAGGTTCAAACTCTCAATCGGGTGACCGTCGAGGGTAATTGAGCCATCACTTGGCATGTACCATCTCTCCAAGAGGCCAAAAATCGTGCTCTTCCCAGATCCACTGGCACCAACGAGGGCGGTTGTCTTGTCTGCAGGTATGTCGAGGTCCAAGCCATGGAGGATCGTCACATCAGACCGAGAAGGGTAAGCAAAGCGAACACCACGGAACTGAATGTCGCCCTTGAAATCGAGAATTTGTTCTCCTTCCTGAGATAGGGCGTCGATCTGCGACTTGCGGTCGATCATCTGGAACATTTCCTGCGCAGCAGCAGTTGCCTTCGAGAGCGCCACTGTCTGGGGGGCTATCTGAGTCAGAGCTGTAGCAGCGACGAGGACTGCAAAGATGACGCTGTATATCAGGGCCTGTAAGCAGAGTTGTCAAAGTGAAAAGTGTGTTCAGTACTCACGTTACAACCGTTCCAGGCTCAGTAATCTCTCCGCTCGAATACATCCTCATTCCCTGCCAGAATGCCAAACCGTAACCAGAGAAGATGCAAAAGAACTCGGTTGGGAAGAGAATGACGTAGACCAACGACTTCTTGCGGCCAACTCTCCTTGCTTCTTCAAGGATTGACGTGAATCGTTTCGACAACTTGGGAAAGGCCCAGAAAGCATGCGCAGTACGAATAGTCGAGAAAGCCTCTTCAGCCAGGGAACTCGATCTTGAATAAATGTCAAACATAGTATACTCGTAGCCAATGTCGACAACAACTGCAGCAATTGTGACTATGATATTGACAGGGACGATAGCAATGACAATCAGCGTCAGCTTCCATTGCACTGCAAAAGCGACGATGAAGGCCGTGACAAAGGTTGAAATGCCCGCAATGGTCAGGCCAAACTTCTCAGAGATACCCTGGTTGATTAGGTTTCCGTTGGTTGTGATTTGGCCAGGCACAGATGAAGAGGGAGTGTCAAAGAAGGCAACCTCTTGACGAAGTGTGCTCTTGACAAAATCGACTCGAAGGGCCTTTGTGGTTCTGATGGCGGCGATAGAGACGAGCATCTGGGTACTCTAGTCAGAGGAATTCACATGGTGATAAAGCGAAGCACTTACTGTCCATATGTAGGTCAATACAAACCTCCCAATGAACAGATACACAAAGTATAGACTAGGATTGTCAGCTATTGGCATGCCTTGAAGGACGAATGAGAGTCGGCTCGTACCTGTACTTGGCAACCTCCTTTCGATAACCCGCAGGAGACAGTTCTCCAGACACAAAATCGTTAAAGACGTTGATAAACTTGCCAAAGACGATATCCATGATAGGTAGTAACGTTCCCGCGCAAATCATAGCAATGAAAGCGATCGAGTTGAGGATCCATCCTAATCGATCGTTGTAAGTGAAGATGCGCTAACATTTGATCAGCACTTTACACTCAGCAGCCAGACACGCAAAGACTCACCAAGTAATACTTGAAGCTCGTATCCTTGTTTTCGTCTTGTGCATATTTTCCTCCCTTATCGCCCTCACCATCAACTTTGACAGCTATAATCGTCTCTTGCTGCTGACTAGTAGAACCACAGGTAGAGTCACCCGGCCGGGCCTCGTTCTTCTGCTCAGCCATCATCACGACAACCAAACAGACAGCCAGAAACTGAAAAGAGCAGAAAAGACAAGAGCAGCAGAAAGCAAGGTCATTGTTTTAAATTAAGCTTGCTTCTTGGCATCGCAGCCCGCAAAACCCGGGGAATACGGTACAGCCAATAAAGTCGATGCATCATCACGTTTTCTCGGCCCATGGGGGTGCCAGACAAAAAAGCAACTGTAATTTCCAGGCGCGGTCCTTTTTCAGCCTCTGAGCCAAATTCAACCTTCTCCAAGTCCTGGCTTATCGTAGTCCTAGATGAAGCGTACGTATTCGTCCTTCAAGAAAGGAATCATAACGGCTGATGAAATAGAGTTGAAACAGGGATGATTTGTTGGGAATTTGAGAGAGAAAAGGCATAACGTGACATGACGTCTCGAACAGGAGCCGGAGATTCATTCCTTTCCCTTCGGATCGAATCAAACAAGACAGACAGCCACACCTACTACCCAAAAACTAAAGCGATCGCCACATGGATCGGAGCTTTCAGCCACACCCCGACTCTCCGGAGCATCAAATACCCCCGGTTCGGTCTCCGCGGCGCCCGGACAGTTCCTCGAATTCAATCCTTGGGATTAAAGTAGCCCTCAAGCCTTTCTTGCGTCGTCAGCATTCATAGATTCCTGCTTTTTATGTTGAATGATTCATTGAAAATCCAAGGCATTTCTTCCAAGAAACTCTTTCAAAGCAAAAATATCCACCATCTTTTTTGGGTTGTGACAACCCCTCCTTTCTGAAGTTTGGTGCATATCAAAACGTATGGATCAGGCCAAGGTTGGCTCGACATCCGGGCCCGCGGGTCCCGATGACACTGCAAGACGAGCGGTAAGTCATTGATTTTAGCCAAAAACAGTCTTTGCTGGGCCTCATGTCGATGGTGCGCCCTATGCTGATGTACATGCAACCGGCCTTGCTCGTGTAAATGGGGAGACGTGCAGCCACACGACGACACTCGTGGGGAACAAACAGTTACTCTTTATGAATCAATGCTGACTGTATCCTCGATGGGGTAAAACAGTGTGATCAATGCCGTATGAGAAAGGTAAGCATTACCTAGACATGTCAAGTCTATCTGCTGCTTCGTTAGAGAGGTAGCGTAGATCACATGAGCAGATGGAATAACAGACTGCATGTAATAGATCCGTTGCGATAAAGACTGGCCTTGCTCCAACTGCCGCATCGCCAAGAGATCCTGTACGTCTACAGGCGTTGGCCAGAGACCTAAAGAGCCTCGGCAAAGAGTCCTGATCTCGTCCCAATAGTTGGTTCCCCCCATACGTCCTCCACCCATCCATATCTACACCCATGACATGACTTTATACCCCACGAGACGTCACCCCATACGCGTATAAGAACCAATCCAGGCAATACAAGTTACTGACTCGAGGCCTGGGTGCCCTGTAGTGAACGCAAGATCGACCAGATCGAGACTCGTCTCGGCAGCATCGAAACTATCCTCCGGGATCTAGCACAGCGTCCCGTTTCCACCCCCGCAAGCAACATCCAATTCCCTGTAACTCCTCAGCAGTCCTCTGTACAGCCTGGTACAACTACCGCCTCCACCGTGGGCTTCGAGAGCTCTGATGACGAGTCCGCATTTGGTGGTGATTCTGTCATTGCCCAACAGACCAACTTTGCCAGCGAGTTCCTTGAGCACGCCGTTGAGCGGACTTCGCTACAAGATGTCAGCCCCAAGATGTGGGAGGCTCTCACCAACTTGAGACAGTTAGCAGAGCTTCAGAATCGCCAGTCCATCAGCCATGGTCCTCGCTTCCCTCTCCAACAGCCGATTCCACAAGGTGGCCTGGTCCAGCTTCGAATGCCACCAATGGAGGTCGTAGTCTCTCTTCTTAAACGCATCAGAGGTACTCCTGCCAACCTCTCCTAACATAATCCCTTCTACTAACACATCAATCCAGCATCTCCACCAGGTCTCTTCACATTTGTCTGCTATTTTGTGGGCATCAGTGACTTTTCCAACCTTTGCCGTATGGTCTACTTTCCCACCGACGACTTTTCCGACTCGGCCTTTATCATCGTCAACGCTGGTCTCTATTACTTGTTCTTGGAGCAACACACGTTGACCGATAATGAGGTCATCAAGGAAGAGTTTGTCTCGTACCTTCATATATGTCGAGTCAACCTCGAGACGGCCCTGGCAAACGTTTCGCTATTCATGTCTGCCAAGGTCGAAACGGTTCAAGCTCTTTTGTTAGGTGTAAGTCAAAGTATTACGAGCTAATCACATATGTATACTGATCAATCGACAGACCCTATATGCCATAGATGTATGCAGGCCGTCTGTGGCCTGGCATCTGAATAGTGCTGCTGCCCAACTGTGTCTAACAGCCGGTTTCCATCGAAAGGAACACTCAGCCCGCGACCCAGAGGGATCCAGTGTCAAGGGCATTTTATTCTGGTACATTTACACAACGGACAAGGCCTTGGCTATACGGCTAGGTCGCGCCCCTGTAATCCAGGACTGGGACATTGATATCCCACGTACCTTCAACTTCGAGGGCATACTGAGTCTGGAGACCAAGGCGATTGCCACTATGTGGCTTAAAGCCGCAACACTCCAGGGTCGAGTATATGAGCAATTGTATGTGGCCCCCACTGCATAAACCTCGAATCTACAACTAACATGACACAGGTTTTGCCCGGCAGCGTTGACACAACCACAGGCGGTCATTGTCGAAAGAGCCCGGTTGTTGGCAACCGAGTGTCGTCAAGTGGTGGCGGAAGCGACTGAAAGCCGAGACTTAGCCATCGCCTCACTAGAAAAGATAGGAGCGTCACCTCTTGTGGATGTCCACGTCAAGGGCGACGAGGTACAGCTGCTCTCAACCATGACGCTCATATATCGAGCTATTCCCGCCCCAGAGGGCTCTATCAGCCGGTTTTGCGACGAATGTGTTGAAAGTGCACGACGGGCAGTACACACGCACCTGGCGTGTATGGAAATGGTGCGAAAGGATCCAAATGCCAAGACCATTTATGTCCATTGGTATGTTCTGACTGACTACGGCCTTTTACCCTTTGGATCTAGCTGACAACTAGTGCAGGAACTTGGTGTTGACTCCTTTTGCCCCCTTCTTCGTCCTCTTCTGCTATGTCATCGAGTCACTATCAACAGAGGATCTTGACTTGATAAACAAGTTCGCCGCATCCATTGCGGAGGCTGTCGACTCGTCCGAGACTATGACGAAGCTATTCCGACTCTGCCATGTCATGAGCAACGTGGCAGCGCTATATGTCGAGGCCAAGTCGCAGCAGCAAGAAGACCAGGCAATGGTACCCATCGGAGATGAGTTCGAGGTGTACTTGAGCCAACTCGGTTTCATGCCCACGGGGGCAGGGGATCAACAGGCCATGAATGCCACGAACGATCCCAACGCAGTGTTCCCTGAGGGCTCGCAGGTTGCGCAAATGGCGGACTGGATGTCGGGAAGTCGGAATCTGCTTGGGCTATTGGAAGAGGATATAAACCAGATAGGCGGACCTCAATGGCCCGGGCAATTGTGAAGAGCAGGCTCAAGTGAAATAGAAGGCTCTCAACTCTCGACTCGCTGGTCGTGACGATAATCCATATCTGTGCATGTTGGTGAAGTGTTTGCGAATGGCTTAATCCGTAGGGAACCTGGGGTCGTAGACTTCGTAGCCTTCATCTTCAGTATCGCTCTCTGCAGACACATTCTTCTGAAGACCTAAGTTCGCCGGAGCAGACTCAAGGACGTTATTTGGCTTGGGCTTCTCCACTGCTGGCCCTGATGCACTGCCTTCAACCTTAGTGAAGGCGCTCTTAAAGCCGCTTTTCTTGAAGCCGCCCTTCTTAAAACCGCCTCCACCGCCGCCGCTACTGCTGGATCCTTCTTGGCCGGGGAGTTTGATGCTGATAAGACCGTCTGCCTTGGCCTCGGCCTTGCGCGCACGTGAACCCGCGTGAGGATCACGGACCATGGCCTTCATGTCCTTGAGGCGCTGCTTGTGGCTGTGGTCATAGCTGCTGAGATGTGCCTCGTAATCATTCATACGGGAGTATCCTTTAGAGCACAGTTGGCAATAGAAGGACTTTTGGGCCTCACGCGCTGAGGAGGTCTGCGCTGGTGGGAGGGTTTGATGTCGCTGGAACGCGTCAACGAGGGGTTTTAGGAGAAAAACAATGACTTACTGGCGGCATGATGAAGATATCGGAAGGCGGCAAGCCGATATAGTATTTCAGGAGTGCGCAGACAATGAATCTATACGAAACTTGTACGACGTAGTATTAATGAGTGAAGTTCATGTGATGGATCCCAGATGGATGCTTGAATCTAAGATGAGTTCCGAACACGGTACGCTAATCCATTTTAGGTTAAACCATGGCCAGCTGCACTTAACCAATCGACACTCGGCAGGTGTTGCTGACCGCACGGAAGGTGCCAAGGTCCCCCGGGACCGCCTCAACGTCACTGTCCAGGGGCATCTGGCAGGGGCATTCCAGAACAAGTTGCCCCAGAGTTTAGGGAGCATCCCCGTTTCCTCTGGGCGTTGAGGCGCTAATCCCAACTGGAAGGAACGGCTTCCCATCCCACGCGCCATCATCATTTCTTCCCATCTCCCCACCAAAGTCCGTTGTCCTTCTCGACTTCTGTCTTGCAAAACACCCACTCCTCCTCGGCTGGGTATGGTTGCACCATGGACACCGACCAATCCCCCGATTCTCGAGACTCGCTGGCGGGCTACCTGCCTCTCCAACAACTTGATCCCACGCCGATAGACTTATCGCCAATAGATGCCGATGAGAGCCGCCGAGATCTCGGTCCACCGCCCCGAGGAAGCGATGATGGATATGAACTCGTGGATTCGGACGATATGGAGGGCAGTGCAGTTTCAATCAAGGCTCCCTCAACTGGTGCTCCAGGCTTGAGTTCAAGCGCAAACCTGGCAAGCAGCACTTCATCTGGTACTGCTACAGGTCCTGGTCCCATCTTCTATCGTGAGTTCTTTGATTTACCCTCTCGGTACTCTGTAATACAACCCATTGCTAACTCCACGCCAGTCATGCGGATTCAAAAGTTCTCGAGTTACGCAATGGGCATCTTTACATCGCTCCATCTCGCCAACGTCTCCCTCATCCCCGCCATCACCCGATCTGTCGCCGGTTCCGAGACCTATCTCCTCATGACTCGCGAGATCTACCAGACCTCGCTTACCGAACCCATCCTGGTCGCCCTACCTGTGATAGCACACGTCGGTTCCGGAATTGCTCTTCGTCTATTGAGGAGGTCGCAGAACATGAAGCGGTACGGCGCTGCTACACCGGGAATGTATGCGCTCCATCGGTCAAGGACAGAGCTCGAGGACCCCAAGAGGGTCAAATCTGCATCACTGTGGCCGGCGTTGAGTTACATTTCGATATCCGGCTATGTCTTTTCTGCCTTCTTCGCTGCCCACGTTTTTGTCAACCGCTTTTTGCCATTGCATGTGGAGGGTGACAGCTCCAACATTGGTCTGGCTTACATTGCCCACGGGTTCGCTCGACACCCTGCCGTTGCTTGGTTCTCTTATATTGGCCTCCTTGGCGTTGGATGCAGTCATATGATCTGGGGACAAGCCAAGTGGCTCGGCTTGGCGCCGTCGACAAAGACAGTCTGGGGACCCGGATCGATGACCATAAACAAGAAAGTCAGGACGCAGAAGAGAAGGAGATATGCTGCTATCCACGGTGTGGCGATATCTTTTGCTGCCCTGTGGGCGGTCGGAGGCCTAGGAGTTGTCGCAAAGGGAGGCCTTACGGAAGGCTGGATTGGCAGGGTGTACGACGAGATTTTTGCAGCTGTTGGGCTGTAAAAACGAAAACTCACGAAGCATTTGGGATGGAGTTTGGGTCATTTACACGGAGATATCTTGGGATTCAACATCGGTATGCGCATCATGGAAATACCCACAGTCAAGACGATGGAGAGTAGAGGAGTCAGAATATATGTTGATTAGAGTAAATTGGACATGACCATAGCTTAAAATTGATACATACCATTCATGAGGGAATGTCTATTTGTCTTTGTCTCATCCCCTGCGTTGGCAATCATCAGCGCTTCCCGTCAGATCGCCGAGTACAGGGTAGTCTCCGGTCAAGCACCGAACCTACCATCGCCACCGACATTTCCAATCAACCTGGAACCTTCACATTTACAACACCACGTTTCCAGCTCGACTTTCGAATTTCACCACTCGGCCTTCTTAGCTGTTCGCAGGCTTGTCCTGCACAGCGCCTGACCATCTGCCCAAGATGCCTCTAAAGCGAAAGCTTCCGCCCGCCGAGGGAAGCTCCCCGCTCAACGACGATATAGCTCAATCCTCGAAACGAATCCGCCTTGCGCATAGGGCCTACGACCCGCCCTCTCGCGATATACTGACCAACATATCGTCCGAGCTGATCCTTCGAATACTATCCTTCCTGTCCTCCTCCGAGCTTCTCTCCATCTCGCCCACCTCCCACCGTCTCTATCGCCTTTGTTCCGATCCACATCTTTGGCGTGAGCACTACTACGAGCGCTTCGTCCTCCCTCGAGCTTTACGGATTCCTGGCTTCCGAGGCGGCGCAGCTGGAGGAACAAGACTACAGTACTCTGCGCGACGGGCCGTATGGGCGGATGGACGGAAGGGCAGAGTAGTGGACGTCGGGCAAGACGATGCGCCCAGGAACGCAACCGAGGGCGTGGACTGGAAAAGACAGTACAAACTGCGACACAACTGGGCTAGAGGCAAGTGCGCAGTAGAAGAAGTCAGCGTGCGAGATGGTTTAGGGGACAGCGGTGGAAAAAAGAGAACGCTTGTCAAGGTGGTCGAAGGCATCGCGATAACGGCCGATTCGGAATCTGGACTGCGCGCATGGGACCTGCGAACACGGCGAACGATTGCGCAAATCGACCTCTACGAAAACGAAGACTGCAGCGAGAGTGCGCCGGCATCACTGGCAGTGGATGAGTGTGGCTCGGGCAACCTGGTGGACATTGTGGTCGGATTCGCAGATGGTGGCTTCGGAATATGGAGGCTGGATCCTAAGCGCAAAGAATTGACGAGACGATATCGGCACGAGAAGAGCTGCAATGGAGAACTTGTCGCGGTGGCATGCGGACACCCGTACGTGCTCACAGCGACAAGCGCAGGCTTGATATCGCTTTATACGTTCAATCGGCCGGCAGCCGATAGAGAAACAAGCGGGGAAGACGATACCGATGGCGACGACTCGACGAGTAGATCGAACCCGACGAGCGCCTCATCCTACAAACATACGAAGCCTCAGGATCCGAAGGTGACACAGGGGCACCTCCCACCTCCCTACCTCCTCACATCACTCAGGTCGCACACTACACACCTCCCTCTGGCTCTCTCCATCCGTCGCATGTCGTCCTCCGTGAGCGCATCCATCGCGTACACCTTCTCGGTGCGTGATGGATGGTGCATTGGCGTGCAGGACCTCCTCATCAAGCCATCGCCATCAGGCAACGACGAGATCACTTCCCGCCTCGCCTCGACGCTCCCTATCACATTCTCCCCAAAGCTCACGACTCTCTGCTACAGCCACCCGTACCTCCTCGCCACCCTCCCCGACAACACGCTAGTCCTACACCTCTGCACCTCAACAGCGACGTCCCTCTCCCTCTCCCCGCCGATCCGCCTATGGGGCCATACATCAGGCATCTCGGACGCTGAGATCACGCCCCGGGGCAAGGCCGTGAGCATCAGTACGCGGGGCGACGAGATTCGCGTGTGGGAGCTAGAGGGAAGGGTCGGAGGCAACAGCATCGAGGTACGACCTACATCCAGGCAGCCAACCGATGACGCAGACAGTCCTCCGCCACCGCGGACGCCTCCGCGAGTCCTAGCTGAGTGGGAGGACCGTAGGAACTGGGTTGGCTTCGACGACGAGATGGTCATCGTGCTCAAGGAGGCGCGGGACGGCCGTGAGAGCTTGATGGTCTACGATTTTACGTGATGGTGACTGTCAAGGCTGACAGATACGTCGGCGGTGACACCAACAATTCAGCTACTCTGTCGACCAGGGTGAGGGCCAAGGCGGCAAGAGAGCCAAATTCAGAACCTCATGTCAACCTGAGGACGGTAACTCGGCACCCAATGCCAAGTATTTGCTCGGAACCTAAGACAATGCCCCCATGGCAAGCTTCAACGTCAAGCTTGAGTCCATCAGCCTTGGAGATTTCACCGTCTCCCTCGAGCGCGTTACTTGGGGTACACGTTCATCTCGTATGAACTGACCCTGTGTGTAATTGTGGCAAACGCTATTAGCCCGATAACATGACAAGGCTCGCAAGGCCGCTTCGACTCTGCAAGTACATAGCGGAGGAGGCCACCGACCTGGCGCCCGTCGCTGAGCCCACCTACAGGGGGGTTACAGTCGATGGCCATCGGATCCGATTCTAGGACCACAGAACAATCCGAATGAACGAACAGAAAGCAATAGAAAGAAACGACTGCTATCTTGGCGGAATGCATTCCATAGAAGGAGTGGGCCCATAGATGAAGCTGTATCACATACAGTCAATGAGAGCAATCTACAGATAACGCGGGTGGTTTCGGCCGACGAGGCACAGGGGACAGGACATCATCCGGAGAATACCTATCTACCTATTTATACTTGCCAAGGCATAGCCCCATATGTGTTGGTCAGATCTTGAAACTCAAGACTCGCTTATTATTTCTGGGATCTCGAGTAGAGTCTAACGTTTCAATGTTTTCCAAGCGGGCCAAGCCATTGACCAATGAGCACTGACCTAGATTAACTCCTTGTTACAGATCCGTCCAGGCTGTGTCTTATACAATTATTCCGCAAATAATATCATGACTTGTTCCCACTTTGAGAGCTCCCGCGACGGTGGTTTACCTCTGCCAAGCGCCCCTCGCGCGAAACAAACGGAGATGAATCTTGGGAAAAAGGGTTTTGTTGATCAAGGTTTCTCCAGCTTGGCGGGTAGATTGATAAAGTATTAAAACATGGACTTTGCTGTTGATCTTTGTGTGTTTCTTCTCTCAGACAGCAACAACATTCGTTCTTTTTTTCCTTACTTACACTTTCGTTCATAGGCATTGATTGTCACTTATATTTCAACTGTATTATCTTTTTATCTATCCAATTGTATTATCCAAAACCCAGACTCACAATGTCTTCCTCCATTCTCTTCGCCGCTGGCGTCCTTGTTGGAGCCGCCCAGGCTTACACCCAGGTCAACGTTGCCTCTCCCTTTATGCTCAAGAACATCGATCCTATCGTCTTCCCCGGCGAGTACAGCAAGTCTCACCTGCACTCTTTCTTCGGCTCCGATGCCGTCACCGTCAACACAAAGACCAGCGCCGAGCTTCAGAAGGGCTGCACCAACGCCGAGAACCCCAACGATCTCTCCGTCTACTGGATCCCTACTCCTCTCTACACTGCTGATGGAAGCTCCTTCGAGCACATTCCTGTCTCGCGCTTCAGCGCTTACTACAACCTCGGCGAGACCCCTGCTGAGGTCGCCATCCCTCAGAACCTAAAGATGGTTGCTGGTGAAGCCAACGCCCAGACCCAGGCCGACTCTCCTGCCGATGCCAAGGTTGAGTGGATGTGCGAGGGCGAATCTGTCCCCATCGGGGAGAACGGCTTCCCTACCTCAACCTGCGGCACTCACCTGCAGCAGCTCCTCTACTTCCCCCAGTGCGTCAACGAGGAAACCCTCGAGACGGCCTACAAGTCCCGCACCTACGGCACTGCCAACTGGTGCCCCGAGGGCAGCAAGTCTATGCCCCAGCTTCGCTTCAGCATCCGCTACGACCTGCGCAAGGTGCTCCCCAACGGCTGGAGCGGCGAGGCTCCCTTCAAGCTGGCCTGCGGTAACGCGTGGTGCTCGCACGGCGACTTTATCAACGGCTGGACCGAGGAGGCTGCGCAGAACATGGTTGCTACTACTGAGGACAAGCGCAAGTTCTTTGAGGTCAACGGTGCTCTTGGAGGTTTCAAGGATGGTCCTACCTGTGAGGCCAAGGACGCTGATCCTGAGAACGGTACTAGCGATTATGCTGAGAGTGTTGCTGTCATGAGCAAGCGTGATGTCTCTGCTTGGGGATGGAAGTCCAAGTCTCGCTTCGTCCGATCTGCTTAAGTTGATACTCCGTCGAGCTCAACGACTGGATGGTTCAGGCTAGAGACAACCGTAGCTTGTACATAACTACGCGTAAATAAAAACCGAAATTCATTCAGACTGTACTCTTCAAATGTGATGTTCTCTCAGTGCCGTATAGCTTAGTATGCAGGACTATATCCGCGTATTGGGCACTTATGGTTGTCTCAAGTCGGAGTCGCCAGCACCATTTACATGGTATACTACGTACCTCACATAACATCAACGACTAGCAATTATACATCAGACATATCCCCAGCGTTCATATAACAGCCCTCCTTCTCCCACAGACAAACGCACATTGATTGTCTCGTTCAAGTATCAACTTGAAGTCAACCATGACTTGCTTTCGTGGCCTGCCCAGTTTTCGCAAATGACAAAGTCATGATTGAACCTTCACGGTAAAGGGTACCATGGACATTGCCAGACTGAGGTAAACTTGAGTATAACTTAGGGCCATTGAAATAACTATTGTATCTAGCCCAATCTCGGCATGAAGAGTTACTGTACGTCTGATGGTACTGTGCCTCTCAACACAGTGAGAAGCGCTGTACATCATCGCCACGACTATGATATGGGCGGCCCATGGAGGTGAAATGAATGCATTGTCGATGTGAATTCTGACACGACGAACGAATGGTAGAACTGGTATGGCAATGTCCTCTATATGCTCGG